CGCAACCTGCCTTAGTATATATATTTTCTTGGTATAATACTTATATCATATGTTTGGTGTGGCCACGTGGATTGCTTACTTATTCAAAACCTGCAACTAAGCATATTTGGTATGATGGCAATTCAATTTGAGCAAGCTTGTCTTGTTGACATGGTGCGTGCCCGTTGTTACGTCATGTGATTTTTTTCAGTATTGACATGGGTTATTACTTACTAATCTAGAAGAATCATGAGCATTCATTCATGGCATAAATTGGATTTAAGTTTTCAAATATTTTTGTAATTGCTTTAAATCCTCCATATCGTTGCTTCGTTACTGGAGGTAATTAATATTGGTCATATATAGATGTAGAGGATTCTTTGTTGATTTGATATGTTTGCACTGGAATAATTAATTGTGTATGAAGCCATGACGCGTTTTGGATCTCCATACAATGAATTTGGATTTACCACAGGCCCTTGCATTGCGACAAATCTCGGTCTAGAGGACCCAGGTGCATCCAATTTTGCATGCACTTTGACTATGCAATGGATTGTTGCCTTTTGAATTAAAACTAAGTTGATTTTTCTAACATCATTATATGTCAAAAATAACATTTTTAATTGTGTATATATGTAATGTTTTCCAAGTTGTTAAAATACCATATACATACATTGATCTTTACACACAACATGAACAACTAGAAGGTCGTTTGTCTCTGTATATCTCAAATGTTCAACATCCCACTAGATTTATCTCTCTATACATTGTAGATTTTAAAACACACCTTCTGGCACAAACTATTCAATTCAAGAAAGTGGGATGATAACTAAGATACATGGTGCAAGGATCTTTTGTGGATTTTTCTCCTATATTCTTTCTTGCAAATAATAACTAAAGTTTTGGTGTGGGCAGTTAGAAAGTTGCAAGAACCAATGCTGGGATTCTACTATAATGTCACCTATGGATATTTGTAGTGCATCTACCCCAATTGTCCTATGCATCAGTTTACATGAGCACCAATAGTGTCCCCTAATCTCATGTGTTCGCGTGACTTGCCAGCAGATGCAGCTAGCAAAATGTCCCATATATGTTTACTGGAGCACTAATGCCAAACCATAGTCTTGGACACTTCCAGCGCCCAACAAAAGACATAACAGTACAATAGCATGGAATTTCTTACAACATGGTGTTAATTATAATGAAGGGATAATATCAAAAGTTTAATTGTTATGTCGAATAACTTCGCTGGATGGGAGGTGTAAATATCTTTTTGCGAGAGAAACGTCTTTGTCATATTGCTTTGCTTCTTTTTTGCCAAATATTGCTTTGCTTCGTCGAAATAACTGTCCAAAGTTTTGTCATGCGTAGTTAGAAAGTCATGAGAACTTTCACCATGCCATAACCTCGTGTAATGGAGTGCATGGACATTGCAGCCGCACCAACCCAAACCTGCATATACATGTGTTTACATGAGCGCCAACACAGATTTGTGTAGTCTCGTGCTCCGACGTCCATAGACGATATTGCCATTGCATCTAGCCAACTATCTCATATATGTGTTTAAATGAGCATGATCATTAAACTATAGTTTCTCGAACACAGTGAGTGCACCAGCAAATGACAAATAATAATATCATTATTGATTGAAATTGCTAACATCGTGGTGCTCATCACTATACAGTAGCACACATCTCAAATTTTATGTGCTATACACTTTTTTAGCGGGGAGATGTAAATATAACTTCTGTAGAGAAACAAATCTTACATTGCTCTATTTGAAAAAGGTCATAAATCACACGTTTTTGCTTGGAAAACTAGAATGACGTGAGCGCCAAATGTCAAACCATAGACTCGTGCAATGCCATGTGTGTGGACAATGCCGCCGCACCGGAGAACATCTTTTTACACATGTTGATTGTTTTTACAACTAGAAAGAAGGTCATGAGATGCTTTTCCTTTTGCAAAAGAATACTCATGCGTTATAAAGTCATGATAACTAGCATTTGCAAATATTGTATTTGAAATAAAACAAAAAATGTACATGATCCCAGCAGTTGCGAGTATTGTAAGCGGAGCATTGTGCGCCCAACAAATTGCACCTACTCGCTCGCTATCACATGATGCGGTCCGGCGAACGATGGTGCCACGTCACCAGCCACAGGAAATTAAAGGGGAAAACAATTTAGTCGCTGTCCATCACCTGTCGCCGTCCGCAGTAGTAAATGGGACGTGGGCCTCTCGCGCACGACACCGGTGCCAGGCAAGGCATTAAATAAATATATATCGAATAGTTAATGAGGTACCAAAAATAAAGGTGGGGAGAGCGGGAAAGTGTAAATTATTCGCCTCGATGCTATCAAAACCTCGCCTCGAAGTATTAACTCCGTATCGTAATTGCTGCGTCTTTTAGATATCGACGACCTCCCTTTCCAACGCCCGCCGCTTTCCTCTCCTTCCTTCCTTCCAGTCTACTTCTCCTCGTCTCCCCCAAAACTTGAGAAGTCGCGGGTAGATTTGCGCCGAGGGGGCGCGGAGACGTCGCATCCATGGCCGCCGCCGCGTTCTCCATCAGGTTGGTCTGCGCAGCCTCGTCTCGTCGGCTTTTATGGCGGTCGTCTGTGCGTTTTTTTTTCTGATCTCCGTTTGCGATTTGTACGAAGGGGGTACGCGGCGAGCATGAGGGGCGAGGCGGCGGCGGAGGGTCGGCGTCCCTTGGGCATCGAACATCTCCCACCTATTAAGGCGCCGCGGTTCCGGTGGTGGGCGGACGAGCTGGCCTCCGCCGTGGCTGCTGCTGCGCCGGCGGCGTCCCCGAGGAGGTCGCCAGGGAAGTCGAAGCCGCCGAAGAAGAGGTCCATTTCTGACCTCTTCGCCGCGGCGCCTCCCTTGGACATTCCCTCCGCCCCCGCCGGTGATAGCGGATGCAACGAGCAAACGGAGGTGGACGGCGACGAGGCGCTGTGCGCGATCGTGAGGCGGGCCAAGGAGCAGAAGAAGCAGAAGAGGAGACTGCAGGAGGAACAGGAGGAGACGGCAGCGGCTGCCGCGCCGGAGAGCAGCGGAGGGCGAGATCCGGAGGGGAATTTCGCGGCCACAAAGGTACGTGATCCAGCCCAGCCCAGCCCAAACCCAACACTGCCTGTCTGTCAATGCAATCATATCATCTACTATTGTTCCTATGCTTTTTTACCCTGGTATCATTTTACTTTTGATCTCCTTGGGATGGGTAAATGCTTTGCGTGTCCATGAGATGAGGAATCGGAGGATATTATTAGATTTAGTTGACTTTATGAAGATAATTTCGTTGCTATTTGCGGGGAGCAATTAGTTGTACCTTTACATAGGGGCAGTCCCGTCGCTTCGCAGGATATTTTATGTAAAGGATTCACTGTGCCGAACCCAGCTACTAATCTGAACCAGGCCTAACTAGTTCGTCTAAGAGGTTGTGTGGGTACTAATAATTGCTGGCAGGTGAACGATGATTTTCTGGCTAAGTGCTAAAGTTACAACGATTTTTGTGTTCTATTCTGTTGCATCAATTCATTTGCTAGTACCTATTTACTGTTTTGTATATGTAAATATTGTTATTTCATGCTTAATTGGTGAAATGTATACCTGCCGCTGCTCATACACTTAGTTAAGACCAAAAACAGATTATGATGGCCAGCTAAGCCAGTAGTGGCTGTACACGAGACAGGCTAGCAAGTACTGCAGCATTTGTACCACATCTCATAGTACATGGTACATCGTCATCGTGTTTCCTTTTTCTCACACCATGCACGGTGGGTTGTGAGCTGCATGCGTACTTGGTGTACCTCCTGCACATTTCAGCCGTGTGGACCCATACACTAGACTTTATCATAGGAAACGGACGTGGAGAAAGCACTTACCAGACCGATATCTTTTGCATTCTTCTCTTGGATAGGAAACTTCATTATTCCATACCTTATACGTTCATTAGCATTTATTTTTTTCTTAAAAACCAAATCTATAATATGTGAATCTATTTATGCGCCTGATAGGTGGCGTGGGAATGTTTCGGTACACCTTTGAGCATGCATAGGAATTGTGTTCAGTAGATGGTGGTAGTTTCCAGTACGTCGCAGTCAACCTGTCACCATATGTTTGACATGATGCATGGTCTGCTTGTACTCTCTTATGGAGTTTTCCAATAATTATCTGGTTGACCAGATTAATGGGATAGAAGTTTTTTTTTGAGCATCAGTACAGACATAAGCGCTCATATACACGCGCACGCGCATACACTCACCCCTATGAACGCACACACGCACACCCTACCCCTATGAGCACCTCCGAGAGACTGAGCCGGCATATCATCTTGAGATTTACGAAGTCACCGTAGGCGTGTGGCTGAGGCACGATGGGGCAATTAAACCCACCCTAAGTTTGAAGTGTGTTGGAATATAAACCTTATTTCTCCACATCTGATATATATGTTTGAAGATTTCTATCTGGTATAATGAATTAACATTTAATATAGAGTTAATCACCATAATATTGTTTGGACCACCGTGCATGCATAGAAGGCTCATCATGTTTTGCACCCTTTAAGATTTTATAATTCATCTTATTCGGATCTCCAAGGATCAAATTGCGAATTTGATCTTTAGATTTACTAAATTACATTCTTTTACAAGCAGCTTGGTTATAAAATGCACATTACCTTTTCTTCAATTAATAGTTCTTGTTTATGTTCTGCAAAAATATTTATTACTGAGGATGGTGAGCCCCCGCATCGCTCCCGTGCGAGAAACTCAGGCGGACACAAGCCGCCGCATCGTGAAGCCCTGCTAGTCAACGGTGGTGGCGGGGACCATGATTGCGGCATAGAGTGGTTCTTGGGCACAGTAAGCTGCTCTATGGTCTAGGTGGTGATGCAGTGTGGTGTTGCTCAGATCCGCCGCGACCGGCTACGGTAGCATGCTCCCTCGCCCGCGTCGTGGTGTTGGACGTTGGCCATGGTGTGGCAGGAAACCACCGCATCTCTCATCTCCTTCTGATCCAAATTGACGGCTCAATGGTCTGTCGGCGGGCTGCCGCTTCCTGCATGCGCTCGACATGCTCTCCGTCCATCGGGCCCGCAGTGGCAGTGCACGCTAACCCTCGCCTACACTCGTGTGCACCCCTCCCTCGAGCTTACTTCAGCTTGGATTTCAACCTTGATGTCAACCTCTAGTGCTTGCTATTGAAGTGATGCACTAGCCAAGTTTCTCAAAAGTCTGAACTGATGGAATGGACTAGCCAACGTATTTTAACACCCCCCTCACGTCTAGGCTGTGGACGTACAGGAAGAACTTAGTCGTGGGATCGAGATTAGATCCTAACTATTTTTATATTAGATAGTGCGTTGGCCAGGATTTGATCCCGAGACCTTGTGGCTTCGATACCATATTGAACTGATGTGCTAGCCAACGTATTTTAACACTTGCACACGCCACCACGTGATGTGCCCCGCTGGTTATGGCTGCACCTCGTGCTTTTCCTCTTCTAGTTGCCTGACACCTCATCCTGCCCGCCCCTCCGCTTCCGCATCGACCACCACGAGGAACTCCTACTATGATGTCACACTCGGTGCTTGTTGGATCTAGGATTGATGGATGCGTTCACCAACCCCCACCCCATCGGGTCGTGTCATCTGCTAGCTTCCTCTAGCCTCGACCACCCCATCATTCTTGGGAACCACTACCTCCAATCCCCTCCATGATGGTAGAGTCGTTGGGTGTGTCGATATTGAACTTGCCCGCCTACTTGCGCACCCATGCCTCCATAGCCCTGCTCTGCCAAGGGTGGGCCGGACACCCCAGATCCACAAGTTTCACTCCACCAACCACCCCTCCACCTCACTCAACCTGCCAGCATCGCCCTGCTTGGCCTGGCCGCACCTGGCTACTGGCGAGCATGCTCGTCTTTGATTCGGGATACATGAGGATTTGGAGGATGTGGGTTTTTTTTCTGGGGTGTAAGCTCGAGCTGGCTCTGGGCGGCTCTGGGCGGCTCCGGCGGCGGTGACGTTCGCGGGTGTCGTTTACTTCCCGTAGTCGTCGCTGTAGCAAACCTTCATTCTCCTGGGTTCTGAGTGAAAGCTCGTTGATGATGGCGCCCGTGGGCGTCATTACACCTTCCTAGGGGTGTCAGGATGGAATCTTATCGTCAGCTTTCATGTAGATCCTTGCATCCTTGGTGGCGGTCCTATTGAGGGGTTCGGATTCTTCCGTCCTTGGTGGCGGTCCTGTTGAGGGGTTCGGCCGTGACGCCTAATAGCATTGCAATGCTGCCAAGTGATACCCCTCGTGTCGGTCATGTAGTCTCGCCATCCATGCTTCACTCGGTGGCCCATTTCAGTGAACTCATTCACACATAGCCATCCTTGTAAGCTTGCTCTTTTTCTTCATCTCTTGCCACCATTTGGTGCCCTTGTTCTATTTTCTTTGTTATGCAGTGCTTACACTCAGCATGGGGCAAAGACCACCCTTCCCTATGGAGAGAACTACATCAGTGATACTCTTCAAGATCATGTCATTTCTTTGTTCTCCCCACTCCCTTGGGCAATGACCACTCTTTTGGTGGAGATTCTGTGTGTCCTTCATACATGTTCAACAAGTCAGAGTCTCTCCCATCTCCTTCAATCGGCATTACGAAATGACCACCCTCTGGTGTGTGAGGATGCGTGGTTTGGAATGGCACATCTCCTTAATGATGACTACTAGTGATCCTTGCTGGTGGTTTTGGCATTGACTGTTTTGAAGCTCTCGTGGTGTCTTTTGGAGTCTGGTCCTCTCCACCTCTATTATGGTTTTGAGATAACTTGGGTTGCATCACTAAACTCTCTAGCTTTGGAGATTGTTATTCGCATCGTGTCGATACCATGTACTGGTTTTTTGCATGCTTGCTTTTACAAGATATATCGCCACTCTGGTTGTTATGGTTTTCGATCTGGTTTCCCTTATAACCTAGATCAAAAATTTCTTTGAATGGGTATTTATTATGGAAACCAACAAGCTAGTCATGCCATTATGTTATTTGTGTACATATTTTTGTTCCTATTTTTTGGTATATAAATTCTTCCTTGCACATGTATTTATAAAAATATATATATATTGAAATTAGAATAAAGGATTGCTTAGAAGCTAGTTTTACACTTTTTGAACACTATGTTGATTGAAATTGGGCATGCATATACTGCCGGTTACGGAGGGGATAGATGTAAAGTGGTTGGAGGGCTAAAGCGAGGGGATAGTTGTGGATGGTAGGAGGGTGAGGCGGTGGTTTAGGCTTGGGCGCCATGATGGCCGGGGATAGATCGGTTCTAGAGGTAAAGCTCCCTCTTTTCTCTGTTTATTTCTTTGATCCCTAACTAGTAAATGCGTACGTGTAATGCGCGTTGATATTAGGGAGGAAATTAATTGCATGTTGATATTAGGAAGGATATTAGTTACACGTTAATTAATAGATGTTGATATTTGGCATAATATTAATGGCACACTAAACATGTTGAGCGCTCACCATGCATTGGAGCAATCTAGGCTGTTAGATTGACATGGTTTGATTACCGACATTAATTGTATCTGCACCTTTCGGTCTGTCTAGGGCCGCTTTTGGGTCTGTCTAGGGCACATCGAAATGTGCAATATCCTTTGTGTTGTCCATCTGTTCTGTACTGGCCCTTGGTGGAGCCACCCTGCTAATGGCCAGGCGATTGGCTGCTGCTTGCTCCCTGATTGCTTCTATGTCTTCAAATTTCCTGAAGGCGTGCCCATCCAGAAGTTCTTTCTGGTGCGTGGGTAGCTTCTCACCCAGAAGCTTGTTGATCTCGTTGGCCATGGGGGATGGTGGTGGGGATTGGCTGAGGGTCGGTAAGTCTGATACCAAGTTGTCACAGCCTAGGTTACGGAGGGGATCGTCGTGGCTGGTACAAGGGAGAGGGTGATGGTGTTTAGGCTTGCACGCCATGATAGCTGGGGAATATATCGGTTCTGGAGGTATTCCCCATGGTTGGTTGTCTGGGTACTCAATAAGTCCATGTTTTGACTATCCTAATCACTACAAAGAAAATCACCCTATCCATTTCATTTCTTTTGCTAGAAATGGCTTTTGATGGCTTGCTTTTCTTCTCTCGTTTCTCGCTCATACATGATGTTTGTACTTTGGAACATGTATTACAAATGCTTATCTAAATAGAAGATATTATTGAGAGATGGGGAAGCTGGAACGGTATAGATGAATTGATGGTGCAGAACTATAAAACTGACAGTAACCACTGATTTTCCAAACCTTTTTCTAGAAATGGATATGCATGTCTGAATTATTTGTTATTGGACTGGTTGAGAATAAGTTCTTTTTATGCTTTTCATATTGACTAGCAATTTATTGACTATTGTGTTTGTATTTGAATTTTCTCCATTATATGAATTCATACTAAAATTTAAGAGGCTGGTGTGTAAATGAATTATATTTATCCATCCCATTCATACTAAAGTATAGATGAATCAACATGGCATCCAGATATGACTTTGGGTAGGAGAATATATGTAATGTACTCAACTTATAATATCATGGATATGAATGTGCTATGACCAACAGTTAGTTGGCGTTCGACGTGTTTTCAACCCTACCCCGATCCAAATATTGTTTTTGTTTTATTTTTTACAAGTATACTTTGACATAAATGTCTATCATCTATGTACATATTTTCTAAGGGTCAAATGTGTTTTTACCCTGTAATGTGGTGTTAGCTGCATAGCGACCATGGCTGTAAATAATTGCGTGTGATACTGGATTATTCTACCAAAAGTTTTATGTTTCACTTCACCTGTTTGTTACTTTTACATGACCCAACCTGTAGTCTGACATCTCTGGGTCCACTCACAGTTATATGTATCTTATGGTTTGAAATAATGCTGCTCAATTGTGTAGGAAGCACATGAAAATCCAAATTTACCTGATGGACTGGATGCTTGCCCATCGCAGAAACCTGAGGCTTCACAACGTCGCAGGAAAGAGAGAGAAAATATATCTGGGAGTAGGAAGAAGGCGAAGATCAATAATGCAAAGAAGAAGGCTGACACAAAGAAGTGCATTGACAATAGCAAAGCTGGTAAAGTGGGAAAACCAAGAGATCTGGGAAAATCTCTCCCTAGGCAAGGCATTCTGAAGTACACAGAGCACACATCTGTGAAAATGGCCAATGAGAAACATGTCAATTCAAAAGGCCATGAAGTAATAGAACTATGCTGCAAATCAGTGAAGGGTGTCAAATTCTCAGAAGCAGATGGTGTAATTGGCAGTAAGACGCAGAGTTGTGAGCTACCCAAACAACAAAGTCTCTGCAAGCTGTTCTCGGATGCTATGGCTTCATCGTCATTCTCTTCGTCAACATCATCCACGTCCATTGAAGGAGACAAATGTGTAACTGCAGAAACTAGTAGTTCTGACATGCCCAACAAAGCCTTCGCTAAGACTAAAGAAGCAAATAAGCATTGCGATAACAAGTACTCTGCTGAGCCTAGTAACAGAGAGATGTCTGCTCCATTCATTGATCTGAATATGACACCACCAGAATGTACTGATTTAGGCTGCACCTACGATTCAAATTTAGAGGTGCCCAATCTTGAGCATAGACATGATGAAACTTTAAGTTCTGATGCTGAATTGCTCGCTGGTGGAGAAAACTTGATGAATTTATCTTTTGGCTCACAGGGACTGGAAAGCCAACCACCTGCTTCTGACTTTGAAAAAATAAAGAGTTCAAGATGGGCAGGCACATTTTTGAATGGTGAGGCAATCAATGTTTCCGACATAGATGCTGTTGGTTCTCCACTGAGCTTAAGAGAACTCGCTGAGACTCGTTGGGGTTGCAGTAATGTTTCAGTAAATGATACCATGACTATGAGTACATATCCTTGTGCATTGCCAGACCAGACATTTCAGGATTCATTTACGCAGCACAAGACTTGGTTCTCCAGAAATCTGAATAATGTTGGCTCCCAGCTTTCTCGTGAATGTAATGTGTCTCACAGCACGGAGTTATATTCTCGTTCTGAGTTGAACGTGGGGCACGAGTGTAGTCCTTCTACGGGACAGACAGTTCGTTTGATGGGTAAAGATCTTACAGTTTGCACGACCAGAGGTGAATCGTTTGCTGAAACTGCACAGAAACATACAGGAACTTCCACCAATGACTATCTTAAGGCAAATGTATTATTGCCACAAGGACAGCCTTTTTTCTCTTTACAAGCTCAAAGTTTCCCCAATGTTGCGGTAAATTCTACCAGAACAACTCAAGCTTCAACATATCATGCAAGCACAAGTCACGCACATTTTGGGTACAGGACTCCACATGATTTCAGTCACCCGTTTCCTGCAGCTAATATATTTTCTGGAGATCGATTGCCATATGAAAGCAGGTATGGTGGTTTTTCAAACTCACGGACCAATCAGACTTTTCTATTGGGGTGTCCACCTCTTCCGAATCATAGCAGTGCAGCATTCCATCAGAATACACCGCGTCCTTGGCGTTATTTCTCTGATCCCTTCGCTGGGGATGAACCACCTGCAGCACCATTTTTGCCTGTAACCGGACAGCAAAGGACACCACCTTCAGTGTTCCATGCCGATTTACCTCGTCAACATGTTGTGCATTCAGCAAGGTCGTCCGTTTGCCCTCTTAACTCTGTGAGTTATACACTCAGCCATCCAGGCCAGGTAATTCAAGAAGTTTCCAACAGCACAGGAGATGCAGCCCTTCTGTCCAGAAATACAGAGAACCGAATGAGGAGAGCTGTTCCTGACAATTCCAATGCTTCTTCTAGTTGTCGCAGTGTGCAGAAGAGATCAGGACCGGTGAAGCTCACTCCCGGCGTGAAGCATATACTGGTGCCAAGCGATAGCACACATGGCGATTCTATGCCTGTGTACTCCTGTTTATCCTTCGGAAGTAGGAGCGGAAATGCTGCAGGGTCTCAGAACAAAGGAGCATGATGATAGACTTTGTGAAATGCTGTTTAGCCTTCAGAAGTAGGAGCCTTTTGAAAATTGCTTACAATTTTCTTTCTGTAAAACTAGATTCACTATCCTGTAAGAATAGTTGCCATACTTTTTGTGCTTTCTGTGCTTGCTTAGTAGTTATTTTCTCAGCTGAACCTGTATCCATGGCTTGTGTTATCCAACAGCATGCAATCTGATATTTTCTGTATTCGTCTGAATTTAAATGATTTCTGGTACTGGTAGATTGTATTACCTACATTTTGCATTTGCAACCTGGTTATAGTAGGTGCAATTTGTTTTTCCGAGGTTAGTTTTCACTCGTAAGTCGTAATGCAACATCCCCTTTTTTCATATAATTTCTTGGTATACACGAGGCACACTTCAACAACTCCCTAAGGCTAAACACTAATAGGTTGCAGTTGATCCGGCAAAGAAAAAATACCAAGTGTCCGAGAACAAGTGGACAAATAGAATAACCCCTAATCAATTCTTCAGTTGCCTGGCCTTTCCATAATATGTGATCTGCTGCCAACAGAGATTAAAATTCAAAGCACCAAAGCCCACTACAGTTACAAAGCTAAAATATGTCAGGAGAAACAAATCGTCTACAGAATGAAATTCAAAGAGCAATGCTACGGGGACGACAATGTTTGGACGACTCATGCACGACGATTAAATCGAGCCGACGAATCTTGAGCACAGCTGAGCAGTGGCCACTGGATCCTCTGGTCGTGCACTTATCGTCCATACACTGTCGTGTGTGGAGCAGTTTCGAAATTCAAATCATGAGAAGTACTGAACTTCGTTCTCTTTTCATCAACTCAACATTACCTCAAGTCCATATTAATTCTTTTTGATCAAGCAAAAATAATATACAGTTGGTCAAATAATCATGGTTGTAAAGATATTATCTATACTAGGGTCTTTAGTCTTTACCCTCGGTGTAAGAGGGTAAAAGAATCCAAGGCCGTTGAAGCATCGAGAAAAGAAACCAGTGACAAAAAGGTCGTTCCTAAGTCGCTCCCGCCGGCGACTCAGGGAGCCAACCCTAGCACCGCCACTTCTCAGCCCCCCTTCCCGGCCTAGCGTGTCGCAGCTGCTACAAGGTGGCTCGGGGCTGCTCCTTGGGGTCTCGACGTGGATGTGGGCTGTCACGGCGTGGTGGTAGCTCATGGTGGTGGTCTGGATCATTTCACGGCGGCGGTTGGTCTCCTCCGGCGTCGGGCGTCAGTGAGCGACCTGTATCGGACCTTCGTTTCCTTCCCTCGTCGTCCGGGCTCTACCCTCGTCGTTGGGCTGGACCGCTCCCAGCTGCAGTCCATTGCTCGTCTTGCGCCCAGCAGTAGGACTGAGCTCGTCTCGCGCCCGGCAGCAGGATCAAGGTCATCTCGCGCCCGGCGTTTGGACCGAGCTTGTCTTGCACCCGATGCAGCAGGATGGGTCGATGGAGGCCAATTTGGCCGGCCCTTTTGGGTCTCGGTGCGGGGGGTGGGGGGGGGGGCACCCAGGAGTGTGAAAAGGAGCGGCCTTTCCACTTGTCTCTTTGGTTGGGGTAGCGACGGGTCTCGGGTGAGGTGGTGTCAAGGTCTTGGATGCCGGGGCGGCTGCCCTGGTGGTGATAGCGCGGTGCTCATGGGCAGAGCCCATGGCTTGGTGCTGCCCGGTGACCATGGCTGTGTGGGCGGCATGGTGGCAGGGGTGTGGCGTTCGGTGGCGGTGAGTGGTTGCTGGGGTGAAAACCTGTTCTGTCTTCGAACGGACCGGCGGCGGCGTAGCACGTTACCTTCTTGAAGGCGTCGTCGCGGCTCTCATCGGTCATCGTGTCGCTCCAGGGGAAACTCTGACCCCCGGGTCGGGCGGTGGCGGCGCGTTGGTGTCGTAACCTTCTTGGAGGTGCCGCCTTGGAGCTCACGGTTCGTCATATGCGGCTTCATCTCTTCGCGGTGGCGTGTTCACGGTGGAGGTCCCCGATTGCTCTTGTAGTGTTAAGGGTGATGTTGCTGTGCTCAGCGCTTATGTATCTCATCTTGGATGGGTGCGTGTGTTGTCGTGGGATGCGTTTGTACTTGGGCCGTGGTTGATCTTTGCTTTATATATAAAATGGGGCGAAAGCCTTTTTGATAATTAAACTAACAGGGTTTTATATATGGGTGTTATTGATGGAATTACTAATGGAGCGGGGCTTACCCTCCCTGATTTTTTCCTTTCGTCTGACTTTGAAGCAAACCAAGAAAATTGAGGAGTTGACAATTGTCCTTCCATTTGTTTCATATTTATTACTTCACATAACATTCCTATAAACTAGGTGGTTGGCAATCCAGATTTCTATTTCTAATATATCTGGACCCTAGATAGAAGCATAGTTTGCTGAAGAGCTTGCCTTTAAAGAAACTAAGAAACTATCAGATGTAGCCCTTAGCTTGCCCATCTTTGACGGAATCATAGTTTGCTGAAGACTCGCCCCTAGCACTATTTTCCAAACGTTGTTAATAGGCTTTCTTGTACTAGTGGCACTTCATAATTTCTTGAAGACTGTGGAGGCTTTGTGAAACAAAGAGTCATAGAACCGCGTCAACTAGCACACATATTGGCGAGCACAAATACCTGATTGTACGCGAATCAACTTGTGGTTGGATGGTTAAAAGGATTGTGGTATCTTCAGCCCACCATGGTTCAAGTCTTGGTGCTCGCATTTATTTCTGGATTTATATCAGCATTTCCGGCGATGCACATTCAGTGGGAGGAG